TCTCTCTCTCTCTCTCTCTCTCTCTCTCTCTCTCTCTCTCTCTCTCTTTCCCATCAGGTCTATTTGAAGGCTCCCATGATTTTGAACGGTGTGTGTGTGATGTGGAGAGGCTGGATCGACCTACAGAGGCTGGATGGCATGGGATACCTGGAGTATGATGAAGAGAGGGCACAGGTAACACAACACATGTAGACAGAGAGATGTATTGTCTTTGCCTTGTTCAAACTCAACTCAGTCTCTATCGGTCTATGTGTGTGTGTGTGTGGGTGTGTGTGTGTGTGTGTGTGTGTGTGTGTGTGTGTGTGTGTGTGCAGCAGGAGGACGCTTTGGCCCAGGCAGCGTTTGAAGAGGCTCGACGCAGAACCCGAGACTTTGAAGACAGAGACCGATCACACAGAGAGGATCTAGAGGTGAGAGGGCCCTGTGAAGGTGGTTTTTATAGAGGACCGACGGTGGTCTGCCATCTCAAAGAGGAGTGGGCTGTTACTGGACAGTGTATCTTGAACTGTAACTGGACAAATCTGCTTCCTCTTCAGACCAACTTAGCCGTGCAAAGCCAGCCTAAATGTCAGATCCAGATTCTAGTCTGGATAAACATGTGTCATTCGTTCACAACAATCTGTGAACTATGAGTTATAACTGTGAACCACAGTTCACAGACAAACAATATTGGGACTTTCCACCCTCCTGACTCTCACCAACCATGAAGAGTAACTTAATACCATACTGAAATGCATTGTTTCACTTCAAGTCTGTTGCACCTCTCACCACAACCATCATCATTGTTGGGTGTGCACCATTGCACCTGTAAGCACACCCAAACGTGATGATTCAGTGGCTACACCCTGAGTACACATCTGCATCATCCACAGCTCATCAAAACCAATAATTCCAACTGCTGTTAAGTTACATTGTGAAGTAACCACCGTAAATAAGACCTCAAATTCAATTCATTCAGGAACTGATTTTGACAATAATTTGTGAGACATTCCCACAACATATATTTTTCAGTTTGGGAATGGGAAGCAAAGACAACAGACGTTCAAGCGGGCAGCTCATTGATCCGGCCACATGTAGGAAGGGCTCATGTTGACGTCAGAGTGAAGCTGTTGGTTATCTACTTGTGCAGCTGATTTGAAATGAGCAAAGTGAAATTTCAAATTTGCGGGCTGGCTTTGCTAGGCTAGACCCAACTGGAAATTTAATTTACAAATTCATAACTCTAAAGCAAGCTACGTTTAGTTTGCTAACAGTACAATACTGTCTTGCTTGCAAACATTCAGAACATAATTTGGCACTCTACAATGATGAATGTGGAAGTAAAATTAAGAGTAACTAGAAACTTATAGATACTTATTTTGTTTCAGCAAAAGTGCCCTTAATTTGTTCTATATTTGCCATAATACGGTATTTCTGGTCTATATTGATGGGTGTGTTTAAGACTAAACACTGTTTTATCAAAGCCACAGAGTCAGTTTCCAGCAGGGTTTTCTTTGCTCAGCGCTTGGGGTGGCTTCGGGTTGTGTGACGTGTGGTTGTGTGCTTTTACATATTTGTATTGTATTTTTTTTTTTTACAGTTTGAATGATAGGTTTAGTGCATGATCAGTTTGACAATAAATCTAATCTGATAATTGATTTGATTTGATATTATTGAACTATTGAATGACTCAGTTTTGTCAGGTGTCCCAAAAGCCTCTGAAGGGAAAGTAGTTGATTTACTTGCAACAGATCACAGGAACAACAATACCGTAATGACACAACCAATTTCAAAAATACAAATTTCAAAAATGTAAATTGTTGTGAGATCTGATCAATTGAGTTTTGTTCATTGAATTATCATCATGTACATGTCAGATTCACAAATTTATACACTGTCAGTTTGAATATTGTGACCGTCTTAAACTTGAGACAAACTCACTTTCCCAGCAAGGCTTTGGGGAGATCAATCCTTCCTCAGTTGACGAAGTTACGAATGAATCCCAAATTGTTTATTTTTTAGGACCCTGTGGTTTCTAAAATCTGGGACTGATGACACACAGACAGCCAGCAGAAAAGAACAGGGTCTGTGTCCTTCATTTCTCACCATCTATCACACTGTCATGCACTAAACCACCCTGTGTGTGTGTGCATATGTGTGTGGTTGTGTGTGTGCAACTATGTGTGTGTACAAATGTTTGATATACGTATGTGCATTCCTGTGTTTGTCCATTATTTTCTGTGTGTGACCACCGGCATCTGCTCCTTGTTTTTATTTTAACGTATGTGTGTGTTGTTCGTGTGTCTGTTGTTCATGAATATGCATGCACTTCTAACGAATGTTATGACTATGATATCTGATCCTGCTTGTTTCATGCTTGTGTGGTGTGAGAGACAGAAACGGCAAGATGTAACCATTTCATAGCTAGTTTGCTCACACACACACATCATCATCACCATCATCATCAGCAAGACCTACCACAGCTTTGGAGCATATGGCCCGGCACAAATTAGAGAGAAAGGAAAGGCAGGAACTCAGCACACGAAGAGAACTGAGGGGTTAGAAAGGAGAAGGGGGGGGGGGGGGGGGGGGGGGGGGGGGGG